CAGTTGTTAATTTGTTTACTGTGAAATAGCATTATAAATGGTCAAACACCATTTCTTCCAAAGGTTTACTAAGGGTCGGTAGCAGGCTGATTTAGTTAGTTATGCATGGATATGAAGGTTCAGCGTTTGTTGGTGGCATGTCCTGCCTAAGTTTACTAATCTTGGCAATGAAAAAGTCATTAAATCAGTGGGTTTTGTGATGAATGAGCCATCTGATTCAATGAAGGATGGAGCTGAGTTCACCTTTTTGCCCAACATTTCCTTTATAGAGCTGTGAGCTGTGTCTTGTGTGTCTGAAACCATATGAGTTCATACTCCATTATCTCTATGTTGATACTCAGATTCTCTGACTGGAACACTATGTGTTGAGAGGCCCCTACTTTCCTCTCATCGTCACTGCAGTGTGACTTCCTTTCATGGATATGTGAATCTCTGGTGGAGTTGAAAGAGAGACCCCTCCTTACCTCGATGACTCACCCAGGAAACAATGCCCCCTCCCAGCGCTGAGGTGGGTGTGTTGGGCTGGTGTCACTGAATGCAGGACAGATGGGCTTCCTTCCCGTTGGGACAGGTCTGCCTCACCGGACATTTTATGATTTGTAAATAATTAGTACATGTTAGTGCATTTGTCTCCCTGTATTGTAACATGGACACATTTGTTTAAGGTAATGTCATGACAGATACTCACCATTGCATACGATCACTCACACTGTCATGGGCATGGCATTATCCAAGTATAGGCCTATTCTAGAAGATTAGACTGCACTCAATCAGTGACGGATTAAATAATCAATTGGATCAGCTAGAAAACAGATTGAGACAAAATAATATGAGAATATTATCCTTATCGGAGGATGAGGAAAAAGGGGACCTTTCCAGCTACGTGATCAAGCTGATATCGGAGGAGCTTGGCGTGGATGTGTCGACGGAGGATCTGGACCGATGCCATCGGATCGGCGTGAATCAGAAGAATGCTAAATACCCTTGCATTGGGAATCTTTAATGTAAAGAACTATCAGACCAAAGTCAACATTCTGAGGGGGAAAGGAGATCAAGGTCCATGGCCAGTCCATTTGATTTTTCCAGGACCTGTCTGCTAGACTGAGGAAAAAACGCCAGCAATTAATTACGATCAGACAGTCGCTGGAGGAAAAAGGAATAAAGTCTCAACTCAACAGTACTGTGGGCATGGAAGGGAACACAGAGAATGGAGTTCACAAGTGCCTATAAAGCCCTGAACAGGCTGCAGCAAACCTTTCCAGTTGAAAGATTGCTCAATGCCCTGAGGAGAGGCAGAAGCGGAAAAAACAGATATGCACACTAGGCTACATACAGTGATGCCCAAGACCAGTTTACCGTAAATTGAGACAATATTCCTTCCCCCTCCCCCCAATACAATTTAGACTCTATTGTCCCCAAGTAACTGTTCTTCTCCAGGAAGTAACGATAGAATAAGACAATGCCAGTGAGATACATGGACACTGGAAAGACAATATAAAAGAGGAACTATAGCATGTAAGTCAATAATTGTCAATAATTGTTCTATGGATGTGTGTGTGTGTGGGTGAGAGTGTGAGAGTGGGTGTATGTGTGGGTATGTGTCTGTGCATATGAATGGGAAAGTGAGGGAGGGTGAATGTGGATGTGTGTGGGAGGGAGGGCGGGAGAGAGTGGGTGTGCAGAGGCATGGGGTGTATGTTGTGTGTAAATGAAGGAGAATGGATGAGTGGGTGGATGTATAGAGGGGTGTAGAGGTGTATGAGAAGAGGGGAGGGGGGGAAGACAGAGGTGGGGATAAACTGGGCTTGGGTGGGTAAGGGAGGGCAAGGAGGGGAGGTGGTGATAAGCTTGGCTTGGGGGGTGCAAGGGTGGGTAAGGATATGAGGGTGGGACAAGCTTGGCTTTGGGGGGGCAAAGGGGAGTAAAGATGGGAGGTGGGGATAAGCTTGGCTTGGTCGGGGTAAAGGGGTGGGGAACAGGGAGGGGGTGGTGGAGAGGGATGGATTTGGTTTGGGAGAGAGAGAAGGAAGGAAGGAAGGACTTCATTATACTTCAATGTAATTGTTTTTCTTTTCTTTTTTATGACTTGTAAACCCGTGGTAAAATGAATTAGAGTTCTGGACAGATTAGGAAAGGATGTTAAATCATTATTATTCATTGTTTATCATTACAATTAAGATGTAATGGTGGTTATTGGTGAGAATGGAGAGGGGCTATATCCGGGGGATTGGGATGGGGTGACTGGGAGGGCATCAGACACTTCTCTGAGGTGTGCGTGAGGCCCCCACTCATCCCATTTCAGTCTCTCGGAGGACCCACTCACCCCAAGCAGAACCCCACTAGCCACTATACTTTAATTTAATTTATAAGGTAATACAAACCAACCACAGTATTTAAGTAGCAGTCTTTCTTTACATTTTTACATTTTAGTCATTTAGCAGACACTCTTATCCAGAGCGACTTACAGTTAGTGAGTGCATACATTATTTTATTTTTTCATACCCCCTTGGGAAACGAACCCACAACCCTGGCATTGCAAGCGCCATGCTCTACCAACTGAGCTACACAGGGCCAAAAGTATGTACAATGTACAGTTGAAGTCGGAAGTTTACATACACTTAGGTTGGAGTCATTAAAACTCGTTTTTCAACCACTCCACAATTTTCTTGTTAACAAACTATCGTTTTTGCAAGTAGGTTAGGACATCTACTTTGTGCATGACACAAGTAATTTTTCCAACAATTGTTTACAGACAGATTATTTCAATTATAATTCACTGTATCACAATTCCAGTGGGTCAGAAGTTTACATGCACTAAATTGACTGCTTCTGATAGGCTAAGTGACATCATTTGAGTCAATTGGAGGTGTACCTGTGGATGTATTTCAAGGCCTACCTTCAAACTCAGTTCCTCTTTGCTTGACATCATGGGAAAATCAAAAGAAATCAGCTAAGACCTCAGAAAAAAATGGTAGACCTCCACAAGTCTGGTTCATCCTTGGGAGCAATTTCCAAACGTCTGAAGGTACCACGTTCATCTGTACAAACAATAGTACGCAAGTATAAACACCATGGGACCACGCAACCGTCATACCGCTCATGAAGTAGACGCGTTCTGTCTCCTAGAGATTAACGTACTTTGGTGCAAAAAGTGCAAATCTATCCCAGAACAACAGCAAAGGACCTTGTGAAGATGCTGGAGGAAACAGGTACAACAGTCTCTATATCCACAGTAAAACGAGTCCTATATCGACATAACCTGAAAGGCCACTCAGCAAGGAAGAAGCCACTGCTCTAAAACCGCCATATAAAAGCCAGACTACAGTTTGCAACTGCACATGGGGACAAAGATCGTACTTTTTGGAGAAATGTCCTCTGGTCTGATGAAACAAAAATAGAACTGTTCGGCCATAATGACCATTGTTATGTTTGGAGGAAAAAGGGGGTTGCTTGCAAGCCGAAGAACACCATCCCAACCGTGAAGCACAGGGGTGGCAGCATCATGCTGTGGGGGTGCTTTGCTGCAGGAGGGACTGGTGCACTTCACAAAATAGATGGCATCATGAGGAAGGAAAATGATGTGGATATATTGAAGCAACATCTGAAGACATCAGTCAGGAAGTTAAAGCTTGGTCGCAAATGATCTTCCAAATGGACAATGACCCCAAGCATACTTCCAAAGTTGTGGCAAAATGGCTTAAGGACAACAAAGTCAAGGTATTGGAGTGGCCATCACAAAGCCCTGACCTCAACCCAAGTTAAACAATTTAAAGGCAATGCTACCAAATACTAATTGAGTGTATGTAAACTTCTGACCCAATGGGAATGTGATGAAATAAATAAAAGCTGAAATAAATCATTCTCTCTACTATTATTCTGACATTTCACATTCTTATGTAAACATCCGACTTCAACTGTATATATACAGTGAGGGAAAAAAGTATTTGATCCCCTGCTGATTTTGTATGTTTGCCCACTGACAAAGAAATGATCAGTCTATAATTTTAATGGTAGGTTTATTTGAACAGTGAGAGACAGAATAACAACAAAGAAATCCAGAAAAACGCATCTCAAAAATGTTATAAATTGATTTGCATTTTAATGAGGGAAATAAGTATTTGACACCCCCTCTCAATCAGAAAGATTTCTGGATCCCAGGTGTCTTTTATACAGGTAACGAGCTGAGATTAGGAGCACACTCTTAAAGGGAGTGCCCCCACTCTTCAACAATGTCTCATATCAAAGATAAACACATTACCACAAATTAATGATAAGACTTTATTATGAAAATGCCATTAAAATCAAACAGAGTACCATAATATGACCAGATTCCACAGTTTTGGTTTGATTATTTTACATCATGTTCTGTCATCTAACTGTTTGGTATTAATATATATTAAAGATCTCCAGACAATGCTCATGCAAAACAATTTAGTTTAAACATATAAACTATCTACTGAGACCTTTAAAGCATGAATATATTTTCTATATGGCAAAATGTGTAGAATTGTAGGAAATTAACTTAAAACTTCTCTCTACCGTCTCCACTAAAATGTTTTGCCGCGAGGTGGGAGGCTTCCCACAACCGAATCTCGCTTAGGGCCCCCAAAAGACTGGGATGAACCCAGTGATCACTCCGATCCGATACTCTGGAGAAGAATGTATAATGGCCAACATGAATTATCGAGTTACAGAATATATTAAAACAGGAACAAATGTCCTTAATGAACACAACTTGTCAAAAAGATCAAGGCTTTCCCGTGAGGCAGAAATGTATACTAGAGAATAAAAGACACCAACCCTGCTACAGTACACCTCAGTAGTACTATTTATCACGATAATATATACGTATACCACTTAGCAGATGCTTTAATCCAAAGCCACTTCCAGTATAGTGACAGTGAGTGCATACATTTTTAGTATGTGTATGTGATCCCTGCGGGACTTGAACCCATGACCTTGGCATTGCTAGTATCCTTACCTTCAAATAAATACTTTCCGTCGCCCGGTGAGCACTGTCTTTGACTGAGCTCTCCCAGCTGTTTGTCTGTGCTGCGGGAGGGGATGTAGGCCTGCACGTTGAAGCAGTAACTCACCCCAGGATCTACATCCCCCTCTTCTAGCTCTATCTCACTGCTTGCAGAGATCTTTGTTTTCTAGAGGGAGAATTACATAAAGAAGGGGTTATATTATGTCTTTTCTTATGTATTTAATTTGTATAACTTGTTCATTACTGTTTTACTATCATAAAACAATCATATATTCATAACACACATAGAGAGATTTCCCATGCAATATAATCAGAAGTAAGATTGGCCAAACTCATATCATCCACTTAATGCATTTAATTTACACTGAACAAAAACAAAAATATGAACGCAACATGCAACAATTTCAAAGATTTTACTGAGTTACAGTTCATTTAAGGAAATCAGTCAATTGAAATAAATTAATTAGGTCCTTATCTATGGATTTCACATGACTGGGAATACAGATATGCATCTGTTGGTCACAGATACCTTAAAAAAAAGGTAGCGGCATGGATCAGAAAAACAGTCAGTATCTGGTGTGACCATCATTTGCCTCATGCTGCATGACACATCTCCTTCGCATAGAGTTGATCAGGCTGTTGACTGTGGCCTGTTGATCAGGCTGTTGATGTTGTTCCACTCCTCTTCAATGTCTGTGCGAAGTTGGTGGATATTGGCAGGAACTGGAACATGCTGTCGTACACGGCTATCCAGAGCATCCCAAACATGCTCAATGAGTGACATGGCTGGTGAGAATGCAGGCCATGAAAGAACTGGGACATTTTCAGCTTCCAGGAATTTTGTACAGCTCCTTGCGACATGGGGCCGTGCAAAATCATCCTGAAACATGAGGCGATGGCGGCTGATGAATGGCACGACAATAGGTCTCAGGATTTCGTCACCGTATCTCTGTGCATTCAAATTGCCATCGATAAAATACATTTGTGCTTGTTGTCCGTAGCTTATACATGCCCATACCATAACTCCACCGCCACCATGGGGCACTCTTGTTCACAATGTTGATATCAGCAAACCACTCGCCCACACAACGCCATCTGCCCGGTACAGTTGAAACCGGGATTCATCCGTGAAGAGCACACTTCTCCAGCATGCAAGTGGCCATCGAAGGTGAGCATTTGCCCTCTGAAGTCGGTTACGACACCGAACTGCAGTCAGGTCAAGACTCTGGTGAGGACGACGAGCACGCAGATGAGGTTCCTTGAGACAGTTTCTGACAGTTTGTGCAGAAATTCTTCAGTTGTTCAAACCCACAGTTTCATCAGCTCTCTGGGTGGCTCATCTCAGATCATCCTACAGGTGAAGAAGCCGGATGTGGAGGTCCTGGACTGGCGTGGTTACACGTGGTCTGCGGTTGTGAGGCCAGTTGGACGTACTACCAAATTCTCTAAAACAGCTCTGGCAACAGCTCTGGCAACAGCTCTGGTGGACATTCCTGCAGTCAGCATGACAATTTAATGCTCCCTCAAAACTTGAGACATCTGCGGCATTGCGTTGTGTGACAAAACTTCACATTTTAGAGTGGCCATTTATTGTCTCCAGCACAAGGTGCACCTGTGTAATGATCATGCTGTATAATCAGCTTCTTGATATGCCACTCCTGTCAGATGGATGAGTTATCTTGGCAAAGGAGAAATGCTAACAAACAGGGATGTAAAGAAATGTGTGCACAAAAATTTGAGAGAAATATGCTTTTTTGCGTATGGAACATTTATGGGATCTTTTATTTCAGCTCATCAAACATGGGACCAACACTTTACATGTTACTTTTATATTTTTGTTCAGCATAATTAAATTCCTTGACTTGCTCCTTTAAGGAGCCTACATCATTGACAAATGTCCTCTATGTCATTTGCTTCGACCCCAGGCCCTACAGTACTTTTAGGAAAGTGTAGGGCTGCCATTTTTATTACCCTCCCCTTTGAGCTTACCTTGCCCCTGCTTGTTGCTTTCCCGAAGGTGACTTTGTACTGCAGCTCATCAGCAAAGACATCCCGGATGGTTCTCTGTTGGTTCTGCTCATTGAACAGGGCTGTGGGAGGGTCTTCTACATACAGGGTGATCTTCTTCTTGTCTTTGCTCACCTCAATCTTGAACTCAGGTCTGCCTATAAGCGCTGGAAGGGAAATAACACGAGAGGTTGACATGCTTGCTTGTCACACCTGGCGCCACTTGGTGACACTGGCATGCAGTTGGAATAGAAAACAAAGAAAGTCTTCTTTCTCCCAGTGATTTATGGAATGACCAACATTTCAACACTGGCATGCAGAAAATGTGCCCTGATACATGGCTGTTGATTCCTATGGCACCACAGGTGTCAACAGCCATGTATCAGGGCATGCGGAAAATGTGTCATTGTATGGTGGGGTACCTACTGTCATTGTAAGGGGTGAACCTCTCCGACCTTGTGTGGGGGAACTCTATGAGGTCAGAGTTCACACCAAGTAGGGGTTTTGAGAGGACATCAGCGGAGTATATGGCCTTCAGGTCCCCGAGAGAGTTGGACAGGTCACACTCTGTCGCCATAGTCCTGATACAGTGTTGGTTCTTCTCTCTGTTCTGACCAATTCTGAAATAAAGAAGATATTTATGTTTGAGTCACAACATCATTCTGATACTGTTAGCGTTCCTCTCTCTGTTCTGGCCAACACTGAAATAGACATAATGGTAGGTTTCAGTCAAAGGATTATTATTATCTTCAAACATGTTTTTTTGTTGCATTTAGGTCGTTCATTGGGTCTGGATTGGAATCTTAGTTCAACAATAAGAAAAGTACCAAATGTTAATCTTTGACTTGCAGGCCTCTGCACCACATATCACACACATTGCACTTCACTAAAACAAAGATTTGTATTCTTTATTTTTTCAGCTCCAAAACCCCTTGATCTATTTGCCAGTACACTGCAAATTGGCCAGTGTTGAATTTTCAGTAACATTTCTAGTGTTGATTCAGGAGTTAAAGTGGTGTAAAAGAACACTCGGTAGTGTAAAAGAACCCCCAGTATTGGTGTTAATAACCAGAGTTATTGTTTTACACTGTGGACATTAAAACAGTCCCATCAAATCCACACCCATCTCTTTCATATTTCCCAGCATGCTCTACTGCAGGTAGATTTTTTAGGATTGTTTTTAATATCTGTGTTTTTGCATGTAGTCTACATTGATTGATTGATTAATCTTATGCTACACAAAGATAAATAACACATTTTTCTAAACTAATCCAATCAGTTAGTAAGATGTATTGCACCCATTACTGAAATGGTTGTTCCCATTTAAATGGTTTAAGTAGTGTTTTTTTTAATCAAGTTTACTAACCCTGCCAATTAATTCTGAATGCAGGTTGCAGGTGAATAAAAAAATCTAACGTGGATGTCCTAACTCTGGCTGCATTGCAATAGCAATTCCACATTACTTTACAAGCCAGCATAACGTGACTTGCAGGCCTGATGTGGCATTTTAACCAGGAGTTTTGTAACACCACTGTGTTAGAGTAAAAAAGGGCCATCAACTAGACCAATAAGTAAGGCCTTATGATATACAGTATGTAATGTATTGTCACAGAGTTTAATTTTAATGATAACATTCGCCTAGGAACTCACTTGTTGAAAGCCACAGGACTTTAAATGGAATGAATTCAGCAACTAACAAATACAGTCAAGGGTGTTAACTCTACAATTTACTCAAAAAGAAAATGAACCCTGGGAAATATGCAAATTAGGCGTTTTCTGTGTATAATTCTGAAAACTCTTTTGGCAGATCAATAGTGTAGTCTGACCGCATCAGTTCTGCCCTCCTACTGCCTTCCAACACATCACCCTGACTCTTCAGGGTCAGAGACTGAGTCTGGGAATAGGTTAGTGCAGACCTCCCACGATAACTGTCATGCGTCAGTGTGTAGCGGTAGGACAGAGTCGGGTGCAGGACACAGAACTTAGTCAACGACGTACTTTACTTGTCACAAGTAAATAAACATATCTTCCACGCAGGGAAGAAAATACCGACTCGCATGTCAATGACAACGAACATTCACGCACAACACCATGCGGGTAGTACTCCGGTGACGACGAACGCCAAAGCCTGCCCGAGCAAGGAGGAGGAGCAGTCTCGGCTGAATTCGTGACAATAACGTGGTTATAGGCAACATATTTTTAATATTTCATTGTTATCTCTTCCTGTAAGTGCAAAAACCAGTAATCAGTATGTAAATTAATTACTTACACAGAATATTCAACGGTGTATGAAAAGTTGGAAGGTTCAGGATCCCACATAAGCAGTGTTTTGAAGTTGATCGACAACCAGGAAACATTCTGTGCCTTGGGATAGTCCCCTACAAGAAGAGCAAGATCAGTTAACTACATGTAATGTTAGACATTGAGTGAAAGGTAAATAATTAGGGACAGTGTGCCTTTTCATAAGAGGGTCACAGGGTACATTGCCTGTACTGTAAACCAGGCTGGTCCCAAGAAGTTGGCAACAAAACATTTGGACATTATGGCTTTTAAATAATGCAGTAGGCCGATATGCATAAGTATTTTATTTATCCATACTATTTGTCTAGTGTACAGCTTTTAGGATTGTAGGCTATATTTTAATTGCCACTTGACTCACCTGAAACACAGTTTGTAAAGAAGAGTACAGTACACAATGTCATAAAAAACATTTTCCTTTCCATTTTCATCATTTTATATTCCAACAGGTCAGTATAAAAACAGTAATCCGATCGGATTGATCCGTGTACGGTTATTTTAAGCAATATCCGACCTTAAACAACGAAGACGGATAATAATTTCGACTGCATGAATTCATTTTTCTAATGTCGTCTAGAAGATTGAATTAATGAACAGAGACAGTGTGGGCGTAGAGAGGAGGGTCTGCTACAGGATACGTGTTCTAGCGGTTTCAAAGTAAAAGCTATGTGACTATCTGACGTTACCTGACCATCGCTCCATCTAGCTAGCTTCTATAGGTTAGTTATAATAAGGGCCACGAACAAGTAACGTTAGTAAGTTATCTAGCAAACTAGCTAGCTGCCTTCAATGATTGATGGCTTTCCTGACAGACAAGACAGGGAGTGTGCGTGCGCGCTCTATCTGTGTATACACTGTCCAAGGATCGTTCAAGACTATTCAGCCCCAGCTGACACGGCTTACATAGGCTACCAAGTTTTGACCATCACCCTCTCTCTCTGCCATCAGGTGTTTATGAATTAATTATCAGCAGTGATGTGAAATACTTAAGTAAAACTACTTTAAAGTACTACTTAGGTCGTTTTTTAGGGTATCTGTACTTAACTGTTACTTTTTGCTCCATCAATTTTCCCTGACACCCAAAAGTACTTGTTACATTTTTTATGCTTAGCAGGACAGGAAAATGGTCAAATTCACGCACTTCTCAAGAGAACATTCTGGTCATCCCTACTGCCTCTGAACTGGCTGACTCACTAAACACACATGCTTCCTTTGTAAATTATGTCTGAGTGTTGGAGTGTACCCCTGGCTGTCTGAAAAAGAAAAGAAAATGGTGCTGTCTGTTTTGCTTAATATAAGGAATTTGAAATGATTTATACTTTTACTATTTTTACTCAAGTAGTATTTTACTAGGTGACTTTTACTTGAGTCATTTTCTATTAGGGTATTAGGGTATACTTCCTCTTCCTCCCTCAGGTCTGCCTTCTTTGTGTTCTCAGCAGAGTTCCGTCCGACGGTCAAACAGGAGTTCCCAGGTAAACTAATGATGATGATAGTATTACTAACAGGAGTTCCCAGGTAAACTAATGATGATGATAGTATTACTATCAGGAGTTCCCAGGTAAACTAATGATGATGATAGTATTACTAACAGGAGTTCCCAGGTAAACTAATCATGATGATAGTATTACTAACAGGAGTTCCCAGGTAAACTAATGATGATGATAGTATTACTAACAGGAGTTCCCAGGTAAACTAATGATGATGATAGTATTACTAACAGGAGTTCCCAGGTAAACTAATGATGATGATAGTATTACTAACAGGAGGTCCCAGGTAAACTAATCATGATGATAGTATTACTAACAGGAGTTAAAGTATTACTAACAGGAGTTCCCAGGTAAACTAATCATGATGATAGTATTACTAACAGGGCCTAAAAACATTTTGGTCCACCAGCAACTGTGGAATGTCATTTTTCACCTGGTCGGCGATTGGAACCAGCGACCTTTCGGTTGCTGGGACAGCGCTCTTCACCACTAAGCTACCTATTTGGTTAAAACTGTGATAATAACAGTACTGTATTAGTGGTATTAGGTTAAAACAGTAGTAATATCAGTACTGTATTAGTGGTATTAGGTTAAAACAGTAGTAATATCAGTACTGTATTAGTGGTATTAGGGTAAAACAGTAGTAATATCAGTACTGTATTTGGTTAAAACAGTAGTAATATCAGTACTGTATTAGTGGTATTAGGGTAAACAGTAGTAATATCAGTACTGTATTTGGTTAAAACAGTAGTAATATCAGTACTGTATTAGTGGTATTAGGTTAAAACAGTAGTAATATCAGTACTGTATTAGGTTAAAACAGTAGTAATATCAGTACTGTATTAGTGGTATTAGGGTAAAACAGTAGTAATATCAGTACTGTATTAGTGGTATTAGGGTAAAACAGTAGTAATATCAGTACTGTATTAGTGGTATTAGGGTAAAACAGTAGTAATATCAGTACTGTATTAGTGGTATTAGGTTAAAACAGTGATAATAATAGATGTGTAATGTAGACGATGGTTTGTCCCCACATATCGGCCCAATTTCAGCCTTTCATCCCCACGTGGGACCCATTTAATATATTATCAGCCGATACAGATATTGTCACCGGTATATTGTGCATCCCTAGTAATATGTGTAATGTATTGTCTCCAGGCTGCTCCATAGGAGAGTATTATCAATAGCAGTAGTATATATAATAATCTATATATTGGTAGTAGTATATATAATAATAGTGTGTATTATCAATAGCAGTAGCGGCAGGTAGCTTGGTGGTTAGGAGCGTTGTGCCAGTGACTGAGGGATCGCTGGTTCTAATCCCCGAGCCGACTAGGTGAAAAATATGTCGATGTGCCCTTTAAGCAAGGCACTTAACCCTAATTGCTCCTGTAAGTCGCTCTGGATAAGAGCGTCTACTAAATGACAAAAATGTAAATGTATATATAATAATCTATATATTGGTAGTAGTATATATAATAATCTATATATTGGTAGTAGTATATATAATAATCTATATAGTGGTAGTAGTAGTATATATATATAATAATAATATATATATATTGGTAGTAGTAGTATATACAGTTGAAGTCGGAAGTTTTAACTCAGTTTTTCACAATTCCTGACATTTAATCCTAGTAAAAATTCCCTGTTTTATGTCAGTTAGGATCACCACTTTATTTTAAGAATGTGAAATATCAGAATAATAGTAGAGAGTGATTTATTTCAGCTTTTATTTCTTTCATCACATTCCCAGTGGGTCAGAAGTTTACATACACTCAATTAGTATTTGGTAGCATTGCCTTTAAATTGTTTAACTTGGGTCAAACGTTTCGGGTAGCCTTCCACAAGCTTCCCAGAATAAGTTGGGTGAATTTTGGCCCATTCCTCCTGACAGAGCTGGTGTAACTGAGTCAGGTTTGTAGGCCTCCTTGCTCGCACACGCTTTTTCATTTTCTATAGGATTGAGGTCAGGGCTTTGTGATGGCCACTCCAATACCTTGACTTTGTTGTCCTTAAGCCATTTTGCCACAACTTTGGAAGTATGCTTGGGGTCATTGTCCATTTGGAAGACCCATTTGCGACCAAGCTTTAACTTCCTGACTGATGTCTTGAGATGTTGCTTCAATATATCCTCAACGTGATCAAGACAAAGGAGATGATTATGGACTACAGGAAAGGGAGGACCGAGAACGCCCCCATTCTCATCGACGGGGCTGTAGTGGAGCAGGCTGAGAGCTTCAAGAGACTAGGTGTCCACATAACCAACAAACTATCATGGTCCAAGCACACCAAGACATTCGTGAAGAGGGCACGACAAAGCCTATCCCTCTCAGGAGACTGAAAAGATTTGGCATGGGTCCTCAGATCCTCAAAAGGTTATACAGCTGCACCATCGAGAGCATCCTGACTGGTTGCATCACTGCCTGGTATGGCAACTGCTTGGCCTCCGACCGCAAGGCACTACAGAGGGTAGTGCGTACGGCCCAGTACATCACTGGGGCCAAGCTTCCTGCCATCCAGGACCTCTATACCAGGTGGTGTCAGAGGAAGGCCCTCAAAATTGTCAAAGACTCCAGCCACCCTAGTCATAGACTGTTCTCTCTGCTACCGCACGGCAAGCGGTACCGGAGTGCCAAGTCTAGGTCCAAAAGGCTTCTTAACAGCTTCTACCCCCAAGCCATAAGACTCCTGAACAGCTAATCATGGCTACCCATACTATTTGCACTGCCCCCCACCCCATCTTCAGCGGTGAAGTTGTCCTGTCCCCTTAGCAGAAAAACACCCCCAAAGCATAATGTTTCCACCTCCATGTTTGACAGTGGGGATGGTGTTCTTGGGGTCATAGGCAGCATTCCTCCTCCTCCAAACACGGCGAGTTGAGTTGATGCCAAAGAGCTCCATTTTGGTCTCATCTGACCACAACACTTTCACCCAGTTCTCCTCTGAATCATTCAGATGTTCATTGGCAAATTTCAGACGGGCATGTATATGTGCTTTCTTGAGCAGGGGGACCTTGCGGGCGCTGCAGGATTTCAGTCCTTCACGGCGTAGTGTGTTACCAATTGTTTTCTTGGTGACTATGGTCCCAGCTGCCTTGAGATCATTGACAATATCCTCCAGTGTAGTTCTGGGCTGATTCTTCACCGTTCTTATGATCATTGCAACTCCACGAGGTGAGATCTTGCATGGAGCCCCAGGCCGAGGGATATTGACAGTTCTTTTGTGTTTCTTCCATTTACGAATAATCGCACCAACTGTTGTCACCTTCTCACCAAACTGCTTGGCGATGGTCTTGTAGCCCATTCCAGCCTTGTGTAGGTCTACAATCTTGTCCCTGACATCCTTGGAGAGCTCCTTGGTCTTGGCCATGGTGGAGAGTTTGGAATCTGATTGATTGCTTCTGTGGACAGGTGTCTTTTATACAGGTAGCGAGCTGAGAATAGGAGCACTCCCTTTAAGGGTGTGCTCCTGGTCTCAGCTCGTTGCCTGTATAAAAGACACCTGGGAGCCAGAAATCTTTCTGATTGAGAGGGGGTCAAATACTTATTTCCCTCATTAAATGCAAATCAATTCATAACATTTTTGACATGCGTTTTTCTGGATTTTTTGGTTGTTATTCTGTCTCTCACTGTTCAAATAAACCTACCATTAAAATTATAGACTGATCATTTCTTTGTCAGTGGGCAAAACGTACAAAATCAGCAGGGGATCAAATACTTTTGTCCCTCACTGTATGTATGTACAGTGGGGGGAAAAAGTATTTAGTCAGCCACCAATTGTGCAAGTTCTCCCACTTAAAAGGATGAGAGAGGCCTGTAATTTTCATCATAGGTACACATCAACTATGGCAGACAAAATGAGAAAAACAATTCCAGAAAATCACATTGTAGGATTTTTAATGAATTTATTTGCAAATTATGGTGGAAAATAAGTATTTGGTCAATAACAAAAGTTTCTCAATACTTTGTTATATACCCTTTGTTGGCAATGACACAGGTCAAACGTTTTCTGTAAGTCTTCACAAGGTTTTCACACACTGTTGCTGGTATTTTGGCCCATTCCTCCATGCAGATCTCCTCTAGAGCAGTGATGTTTTGGGGCTGTCGCTGGGCAACACAGTCTTTCAACTCCCTCCAAAGATTTTCTAT